CGACGGGGGTTGGAGCGGTAGGACTAGCTCTAAAACGCTCCCACAGTGAGACAAATTATAGTATGACAAGGTAAGCAAACACAGACGAGTTTAAGTGGGAATAGGAAATCACATCAGACACCAAAAACCACTCACAAAACCTAATGGAAAAATAAACCGGGATTCCTGTTATCTGGAAAGTTAGTTGACAACTGGACAGCAAGATCCATCTTTTTCAACGGATGATAAATCAATGGTCATTTATTCGGTCTATCTAAGCAAGGGAATTTTTGTGAAATTCGGGATCTAAATGATTGACTGACTGGAAACCACATAAGAAAATGCATCTGCTGAAACGGTTACAGGGGCAAGATAGTGGTGGCCGGTGCAATATGGGTACGGCGCAATCCGACGGAAATGCAACAAGTAGCGGGAGGATAAACGGAATTGAGAAGCGATTCAATTGCGACCGCCGCGTATGACCTCACATAGCTAACGGCAGCAAGGCATAGATTTTCAAGACTTCCTGTATTTCGGTCGGATTATGTTTCTAAAGGGCTATACTTTATTCAAACAAGATGATTTCGTTTTTTAATGCCAAACTGTTCCAGCAACTAAAAAGAAATTGAAGCATCATCAAGTATGACTGCGTAAGCCTCTGGCATTGTTCTGCGGAATAAAGAATGTTTCTGTTATGCTAAAGGAAGTCAACGGTTATGCTATGTGCACCTGCCACCAATCCGTCAAGACGAAGATGACACGGCTGGAGCAAGTAATAGAGGTGGGAGAATCAGGTGGATAGACACAATGCTAACACTCACATCGTAGCGATATAAAATAACGCCTCATGCAAAGGGTAAACATTAACAGCCAGCCAGTAATGCACATCGACAAAATCCGAGAGCATAGACGAGATGCACTGCACTTCGGTACAGTTCAGTTGATCAACTATGATCAGAGCACCGAAGTGCCACAACTCACACCGTAAGAATAACAATAAATAACACCGGTAGGATAACAGATTTGGATGCGAATAGAATGTACAAAGAATAGAAACAAGAGGGAATTGTGTTAAACTAATCAGAATGGAACGAAAGTTTACAGCTAGATGAAAGAAGCCGAATGCAGGAACACCATCTGACACGGTCTCGAACCGTTGCTATGGACTATCCCGAGGCCACCATCCAGGAAGATGGTACGCACCAGCCTGACCAAATCTCTCAGCCAATTTCTGCAAGCTTCTAAGCTATGCCATGGACTGGCTATCTCAAGGTTTCGCCCAACTTGGTGCGGCCACGGCGCATAATGCACAAGGAGGAAACCGAGCAGCGGGCTTTCGGAAGACGGACTAGCCAACGCAAGTGACTAAGATTTGGTAAACACTCAAGAGAAGCACCAAAAGGCTTCTTACCAAAAAAGATTGGTGGACCTCAACATTGCTCACCTGGTGTTCCCACCAAACGTGAGCAATACTCCGCAAGCTCCGGTGGTCAAACACGGCCAAGAGTACAATGTCTTCGCAGCGGACTGGCCAGGTCTCTGATGCATACAGTAAAACCGGTCTTACCGCAGCGTTATACACCCTACCTTTCAATGACAAGTTGATATCCCGCCGTCTCCAAAAATAGTTGACCCTTTGGAAAACCACAAGGGCCACGCTGATACGCGAAGTAACCTCTTCAATGAAGTGACCACTAGAGGTGACACAGCTACCGATCCACCACGTCTAGTGACGGTTTGGAAATAGCTAAAACCGGAGGTGTGTAGGCCCAGTCCTGCAACAGTACTTTGCAGATTTCAGATACAGAGTAGATGTAGAAGTGTGCAATGCTATGCAAAAGTCTGTGCAGTAGTGCTTGCATGGCCAATGCATCAGACCCAAAAAGAACTATGTCGTCCGCATACTCCAGATTTGTCAGTCGGTCACCTGGCATAACCACCACTTTAGAATAGCCTGAAAGAACCGAGTCATCCACGATGACTTCGATCAAAACGTTGAAGCGAAAAGGAGATATAGGACAACCCTGGCGAACCCCAATTGTCGTCGGAACTCAGGACACAGTTTCCCGTGGACCCTTATACGGCCTCGGTAATCACGATAGTGAAACTGCATAATGGAAAGGAGTTTAGCTGACAAGCCCTTCATGGGTAGGCCGTGCCACAAGCTGACGCGGACAACAGAGCCGAATGTGGCTTACAAGTGGAGGAAAACCAGTATAATCTGTCGTCTGTATGTGTGTCTCTGTTCTAAAACTTGGTGGGGAGTGAATATGTGGTAGATGTAACCAGAACCAGAGCGGAAGGCAGCCTGACTTTCAGTGATTCGGTCCTCACGGGAACCAGTAAGTCGTCGAGGAATGATATTCGTGAGAAGTTTTGAGGCAATGGAAATAAGGCTAATGCCTCGATGATTTTCGTAAAAAACACGCTGACTTTGAAAATGGGCACGACAGTCGATAGTCGCCAGTCTGAAGGCACTTCTTTAGTGCCTCAAATCGTGTGAAAAAGAGAAGCATGTCCAGCCAACAAAGAGTCACCACCACCTTTCAGCAAAGATGGGAGAAAGTCCCCGGGGTCCAGGAACCTTATTTCATTTTAACCCGTTAAGTTCATGTCGAATCTCTTCCAAAGTGGGAGGTGTGACATCTACTTCCCACGTCGGCTCGGGTGAATCGGTAAGCGGCAGTGTGGCAGCAGGCCAGCTGAACTGCTCCTCAAAATGTTCCGCTCGACGGGCTAGTCGATGACGCCGAGAGTGTATCAACAGTCCATCTTTCTTAGCTATTATCTAGCTAACTGATAGTGTTCTCGGACCCGTATTCCGAATGTGCTGGAACGGCACTCAGCTGTTTCCAGTAGCGGTAGCTTTCTTCATCTCAACCCACCAACGTCCCCGGCCAAACCGAGGACTACTTATCAGACGTCGTTGCAGGGAATTACGAATGCGCTGAAACACATTGTCCACTGGAACCCGTTAGCGCGCTTCGATCAAACTGATCGATGCTTCATTCAGACGTCTCCCGACGTCTCAAGTCGGGTGCGCAGCAAGCGTCATGGGCATCCTTCATGGCATATTTGAGACGATCCTAAACATCGCTCCGCTTGCCAACCTCATTCATCACTTTCAGTTGGTGGGCCAGTCCGTTATGCTATTGTTGAACCGCAGATTGCCAGTTCGAGTTCTAGGCAAGGAGACTAGGAGATAAGCCCTTCTTTGAAGTGGAGTGGGTGTGCGCCAAGCGTGCGCGCACTAGAGCATGGTTGGAATCCAGGCATATGCTCCAAATTGACCGGCAGTGTTATTTCCACTGATAGTACGGATAACCGATGCAGTCACTGTAGTCACTATACAACCACTTTCCAAGTCAGAAAACAAAGACCCCTGACGGAACTTGTATGGAACACTCAGAAGGCAGAATGTACAGACATAATATGGGGTTGAGATAGATAGTTCACGAAAGACCTAATTGAAAGTTCCTGACGAGAGTAACTACTAGATGCGCAAAACTCGTTTGTTGGCTGATCAAGTAGTGTGTTTACTGGAGGGGTTCAAAGTAGGTCATTCTGATTGGCCTACTTTAAGGTAAAACGTTACCATTGGCTTACTTTCGTCGGCTAGCCAATCGTAAACAGGTGGCGGCATCATCAACAACATCAACAGCAGTACATCAGCCATTTGAACTGATGCTTCGCTGCCATACAACCATGAGGACCTATGAATAAAGAATGTTTGCCCTAAGCAAACATTCAGGGCCAAAGCGCCTACACCGTCTGTAGACAACATACCGTCACGAACAGCTGGCTATCGTGCAAAGATAAGGCGGAATCGACGAGACAGCTTCATTGCGGCTTTCACTGCCACGCGTCATAATCAGCCATTACCCCACAGATGACTCAGCACCAAACACACTTTAAACAGGCAACCCGATTAGGAGACGGCAGCAGACGCGCCACTGGTGTCTACTGCGAGCCATGTCCTGTAAAGTCTCGAGCCAAGCACAAGGCGGCATACAACCAATCTTCTTCGGGCTGCTCCAGACAGAGTGAGAGAGCTAGCTTCCATGACTGCTGCTATGGACGGGCCCGGTAACAGTCTTGGAATGAGATGCGCCACCTTTAGCTTATGGCAATATGGCCCATTCGGTCTGACTATTGAGGGATTCGGTGGGCACCAAGTGACGCGGCTTGAACGTTTGTGCTTGAAAGCAGTGGTGCTGCGGGAATCGATCACCATTGTATGTTCGGCATGCATCGACGCCGAAGCGCTCTCCCAGGTGTTGTTCAGAATCTCAAAAGCGATCCAATTAAGCATCCAAGTCACCAGCAACAGTCACAATGTCAGTATTCTTCGACATGCGGAGATTAGATGAAATATGGTCATAGAAATCATCTTTGGTACCCTCCGAACTGCAGTCAGTAGGAGCATAAACGGAGGCGACGAAAAAGCATCTTGTCTTCATATGATGCTTATGAACCCCAATAGAGGTTCGAAGTCGAACCGCACACACGCGGCTGTCCACCGGTATCCAGTCGAGTAGATTACCTTCAGCATGTCTGCTGAGGGCGATACCAACACCGCAAATACTTTGAGCCATTGACTCGGTATCAGCAGAGACGCGAAGAGCGTAGTCATCGTCCTCAGATTCAGAACCAGAAAGTCAAAGACTCGTCAGAACGTCGCTATCTTATATGCGTGTTTCGTAGACATAGTACATATCAATACGAAGAGAGTGAGAGTCACCGTTGCTTGTTGTTACGGGATTCAACGCAGACTAGGGTAATGCCAGGATGGAGACGCGGGTAGCAGTGGTCACACTCCTGGTATTCCTGAGACGAATTAATGTTGGTAGCTTGAAGTTTAGGTGTACGGGTGGGGGACTATTGCCTGCATATAAAAAGCTTCACACAAGATTCATCAACCACAAAATCAGGATATCAATAATAAGCAGTATTGGGTAAAAACAGTGGCCGAAGACAGGGAACGCTATTTCTGAGGTGCTGAAATGATTGAGAGAACTTACTGTAGATTACTATCGCAATTACTAGAGCGCCTTGCAAAAGAGTTCCACACTCCAAGTGGGGCAATCCCAAGTGGTAATTTGCGCAGCTTAGAGCCCTGAAAGTGTATCCTACCGCAACTCTTCGCTAACCTGAGGGTCCGTTCGCTGAAGCACAGCTGTCACAGTCTGTGAAGCAAGGAACAGGAGATATGTACAAAGACAACACACGAGTATGAAAGTTCCGAAAGGGTAGCAATCAGATTTCTCGGAAAGAAAAACCAACCTTTTGAAGAACGTGATCGTCACCGGCAATGAGAACGCCGTCAGTACTGTTGGGGTCCAGAACGGTGACAGAATCTCTTATTTCTGCATCGCTGTCCGTGTATACCATTTGAACGTCCAGACCGCTAAGTTGCAAAAATGGAGCGACGTCCTTCTCGAAGTCTTTCAGTAGGTTTCTAACGTTCTATGAAAAAACGAAGCAAACGGAACGAACCCGCGTCGCGCGAAAGGGTTGAGGTAAACAGTCAGACGACGTAGTCTATCGTGTGGACCGGTGTTTGCGCTTCCCAAAGGCTATAAAAGAGTGGTGATCTGGTCTACTGGGGTACTTACCTTAACGTGGTCACATAATTCTCGGCGCAGTATGTCTTGTCTGAATTACCAAAACTGCGTTGTCGTTCCAAAGGAGGACATACCTGTACCCCTCATTTAAATGGACGAAAGCAAATGAGGTTATAGCAAATGCAAAAATGCACTTCTTTGGATGGCTTTTTACAATATTGGTAATCTTCATGAAGACAGGCTATGGTGGAAACATGAGAAACAAAGTTCGAGTGAGTTAGATAGTTATAATGAATAAGAAAAAGTATAATAATTTATTGATATGAAAAAGGTGGTGGCGGGAGAGTTGCACCTCACTTCTCCTAAGCTCTTAAATGCAAATAAAGTGATGCAGAAAAGATAACGCAACTTGCAGTTGCCAGATGATACGCTGTGGCTGTTGATTCAAAAAGAACGAGGAGTTGATCAGATAGGAGTGAGCCCAGCCGGAATAAGTAAGCAACTGTTATAAGGCGAATGAGTATGAAGAAGTACAACAGGTGCCACAGTGGTGTACTCCTCGTGGTGAGAAATTGTGCAGTCAAACTACTTTCGGTGCTACCAAAAAAGTTATAAGGATTGCGCCGGTATACCATACTGACGCTTCGCTGTCAGATGACCACCACGAGTCGAGCTAACCAGGAATATTGTGAGGTTGCCCCTACCTACGATGGACGAACAATGATGCTCGGCAATAACAGAAGCAGATCAGTATTTTGTAAGGATGGTTCGTTACCGTACTAGTAAAATGACCTAAAGAATAAAAAATAGTAAGAAACAAAGAGGCGGGACATAGTGCAACACTTAAACGCATTAAACAAACATCCGAATACAAGGCGGCTACATCATATCAACAACATACATTCACAAACTGCTGGCCTCCGTGCAATGACAAGGCGGCATATATTGTTAGCGCCCTAAGCTGCATTTATAACACAGGTAACAGAGCACCATCATTATCATCACTATCAATTCACGTTATCCGAGGGATTCGAAATACACCTCAGCTGAGGTGCCACAAAACGAAGGTAATTAACTATAAATTACACTACAAAAAATTAAAAAAGCAAATAATATTATGTCAAATATCATATCATTCATTTGCTATGAGCTTATAACTAGGGGGAATCTAAAACATAGGAAGACGGACAAAGAAACTCTCAACACAAATATCATTGGTAAGGGCTCTTCGCCATATCAGCAAGGGTATCCAACCAAACGTGTCTATTGAACTTGGGGCAACATCTATGCACTAGAGATGCAACAACCGACACCAAGATCGAAGTGAGAGTTTCCATTCCTCTCGACCAAGTCATCGCTTCCATTCAGACCCCCGGCGCGCAAACAGCGCACGAAGCGGGAGTCGGTGTACTGGCATAAGCAACATGTGGCCCAGCCATCGGAGCCTGGTGGGTCATATAATGGTGCTGAACGTTTCACTCGCTTTTCCTGCACCAAATACACCACGTCGAAAACAATGAATGCTCACGCGGTGCTCCCACCGGACATGAGCTAAGCTGTAGACACAGCAATGGTCTAACGTAGTTAGCCTTTTTATCTCTGCGACCTGATAGGCCAGGTTTCACAACCAGATGGGGCGGTAGAACGGACAGCTGCATTGTAAACTCAGCTCTTCAGGGCGAAAGTGATGTCACATCGGTGCCACAGGTGGCAAAAATTGGCAAAAGCACCTCAGGCCTTTGATATCCGGTGCATGACTACATCGTTCCACGGGCGCTACTATAGCCACGCATGTACTTGAATTCCTGAACGATTTCTAGCTGATCACCACTAAGGGTCAGCGCAGAGATGGGTCGCTGCCAATCTTGGAGAATAGGTGTATTTCGGTGAAGCAAAGCATAGCCCAAAAGGACTGACAGCCAGTGCTAATCGGTCCAGTGCTGTTTGAAACGTTGGGAAACTGCCACAGACGAGGGCAATGTCGTCAGCATACATAAAACCAAGAAGCCGATCAAAAAGAAGCAGATTCACACTATGCTCAGCGAAAGCCGTTTCCATGACTTCGTCAATAGCGAAGTTAAAGAGAAAAGGTGACAGAGGGCAAGCCTGTGTCACATCGCTTGTGATATTGAAAGGCGGAGACAGTTTGTCATAAACTCTCACTCTGCCCGAACTATACGCGTACAGCGCTCTGATAATGTTCACATACTTTTCGGGTACATTATCCCTGAGCAGACAGTCTAAAAAGGAACATCGATCAACCGAATCCAAAGCAACTTTGATGTCGAGAAACACGACTACGGTTGGTCGACAATAAATATGGCGGTGCTCTAACAATTGACGTAAACGGATGTGGTCGATGCAGCCTCGATTTCGACGAAACCCGGCTTACTTCCCACGGATCTGGCTTTCACGAATTCCACTTCGTCGGTGGAGAACGACAGACGCAGATAATGCAGAGGCAAATGAGATTAGACTGATACTTCCATGACTGCCGCATTCTGAACGACAGCCTCCCTTGAAATCTGAGAAGGACGGAACGGCTCCAGTCCGTTTGGACAGTTTCCTGCTCTCACAGCTTCATTAGTAACTCCTGTACATCAGCTACACGAGCAGGCCCGCCGAATGCGAAGAGGGATGGGGTATTCTATCTTCCCTGCGGCCTTATTCAATTTCAACAGCCTGATCTCACGTTCGACTTCAGTGCGTGAGAACAGACTCATGGGGACGGCCCAGGGATTAAGGCGATCAACGCCGATGGAGAAGCTGACAACTGAGACTGATTAAACTGCCTCCTAGGGTTCGGCTCAGCGCTCCAATAGTCTTGACAAGTTGTGGATAGGCTGTCCACTATCGTCACGTACGGTCTCGTTTACCCCAGGGCTCCTGCTGCCCGTTTCCCGTATCAGATGGAATAACTTATGATGGTTACTAACAGCAACGGCTGTTTCCATTTCCGATGCATGATGAAACCACAAGGTTTTACGGTATCTCTTCAGGTTAGCACGGATTTCTGTCCTGAGGCTTTTGCGAGTCTCATTGTACGCTTCCACTCGGAATACGTCGGCAAGCATCCAGAAGTTCCAAAAACTATGTCAAGATTCAATTTGATTTCCCACGTGTAAACACGACTTGACTGCTAATAGTAACGTCTGGCGAATAGGCGGCCAGCGATCTTCAACCGTGTTCAGTAGATGTTTATTCGGCCCGAATGCCAGTGTACTTTGATACGTGTTCAGAACATCTGGCTTCGCCAGATGGCTGGTGTCTATGCGCTTAGAGCGACGTTGTGGACGTCCGCCGATACGCACCTGAAGGTCGGCACACAAAAGAGCGTGATTGGAGCCTATGCTCGTGCTTCAAATCGAGCGACAGTTTTAGACGCAGTCTCTCCAGTGATGAAAGACTGCGATGTGATCGATTTGCTAGGCGCCAAGCTACTCCTCTGCAACAGCGATATCGAAAATTATTGCACGCAATCAAGAGATCAGCATTTTCACCAGTTTTCAACCCCCCCCCCCCGATTCTTGGCTCTCCCCCAACATGCTTTGCTAGGCGTTTATCTTTTAATTTCAACTCACATGCTAACGCGGAGCGTCACTCCTCTCCTGTCGACAAGTCCATATCCAACCAAGCGGTCCATTCCAGTTCATCGGCTTCCAGTTGGAACTCTCGATCCTCCTTCAGATTGGCATGTCTCAATGTACGCACATTGCTACAGATCAGTAAACAGACAGCACTTGCATGAACATTGGAGACCCTCTCCATCGATATCTGCTGCTTATCGGAGACCCGCCTGAAAGACTCAAGCTCTGTGCTTACCCTGCGATCCCCTTCCGGTGACGCAAGCAGTATTTGCTCATTGCGCCTATCCGATGACAACGTATCTTCGAGCACCGGTCAAGCTGGTGTTGGTATTGCCCTGAGTACCCCGGCTGAACCTGCTCTGGTTCATTGGATTCCAATCAGTAGTCGGATGTGTGAGGTCCGATTGGTTGGGTCGTTCAAAGCTTCGAAGTCGCACGGGACTACTAGGTGTCTATTCATCATTGCTGCCTACGCGCCCACAAAGTGTAGCGATGATTCGGTAAAGAAGGACTACTACCGCCAACTGACCCAGCTCCGTCGCCACAGAAGAAGCACGGACACCGTTGTGCTGGCAGAAGATCTGAACGCTCAAGTTGGAAAGTTGTCCACTGATGGAATGCATCAAAGCGGTCAGCACGGTGTAGGCTTCCGTAATGATAACGGTGAGTGGTTACCTCATTTGTGTGAAGACGCTCGCTTATGTCTTGCGAGCACTAACTTCCGACACAGCAATCGCCGGAAGGTAACTTGGCGTCCACCAGCCTCGAACCAACCTTGGACGCAAATCGATCACGTTGCAATCAGTGCCCGGTGGAGAGGCGACATCCAGAACTGTCGCCCGATTTGGAGCACATGTGCGAACACCGATCACGCATTTGTTTGTGCGGACAAGCGTATCCGTTTAGGCGGACGCCTCCGATGACGCCGTGAGCGCATCGACAACCACCAATTGAAAAGCCAGCTATTCTAAATGCCTATCAAAGTAAGTTGATACGCTAGGTGAGTAGGCGCTCACCGGAGACAACTGAAGGTCACTAAACCATGCTTACCAGACGTTACTAGTAGCAGGCAAATCCTGTTGTGGTAAATCTAATAGCCAACATGGACATTGGGTCTCTTCGCAGTCTCTGGAACTTATCGATGCTCGCCGGCATATTCCGGCTGGAAGCGAACACAATGAAACTCGCAAAGCGCTCTGGGCAAAACTCCGTGCTAGCCTGAAGAGGGACCGCGAATCCTGGTGATCTCATCGTGCATCAGAGATGGAAATGGCTGCTGCCCTTGGTAACCATCGTAAGTTATTCCGTCTGATACGGGAAACGGGCAGCAGAATACCTGGTGTTAGTGAAACTATAAGTGACGAGAGTGGACAGCCTATCCACAATTTCTCAAAGCGTTTGGAGCGTTGGGATGAGCATTTTGAAAAGCAATATAATCGGATGGAATTGTTCGATTCTTCGCCGGCCACTGATCGCGCTGCTCCGTGGACTGTCCCTTTGGATCCACCCTCGCTCAGAAATCAAACGTGAGATCGGACAGTTGAAGTTACATAAAGTCGCGGGACCAGATGATCTACCTTCAGCCCTCTTAAAATTCGGAGGAGTTGCTCTTGTGGATGATTTATACGAGTTACTAGTGAAACTG